GAGGAGGTGGACGTCTTGATGGACGTCCTCGGGGCCTCGGCCGACCAAAGCTTGAGGTCCTTGATGGGTGTGGATTTGTGGAAAAAGTGACCCGGAGGAGGGCGGTCTTCCATGGCGGGAAGGAGGGGCGCGGGCGTGCCCAAGGCCTGAGGCGAGGGGAAGGACGAGAAAGAGAGCTTGGGGGGACCCTGCGGGTGAGAAAAGTAAACAACAGCACTCGTGGCGTCGTCTCTCGAAGGAATGTTTTCTTCCCCGGCAAGAATGAGAGGCTCGTGTCTTTTTTGCGTTCGTTTGCAATCAAAAATGTCCTGCGCTTCCATCGCTCTCCCTCAAGGCGCCTCGCCCACCCTCAGGCCCTGGCCGCGCACCTACATGTCCTAAGCGTGCCCCCCACGCCCTTCCGCACCTCCTCATACTGCTCGCTGATTCGTTGAACCTCCCCGCAACGTCTGTACACCCTCCTTCCCCTCCTCTTCCCTTTCCTCCTCTTCCTCCCTCTCCTCCTCTCCCCCTCTCTCCTCTTCCCTCTCCTCCTCTTCCTCCCCCTCCTCTACCTCCTCTCTCTCCTCCCCATTCCTTCCCCTTTGCCCCTCCCCCTCCGCCTCCTCCTCCTCCTCGTTCCCACGCCCTACCCCGGCGGGCGTTTGGGTGGTCAAGAAGGAAGACATGGAGAGTGAAGACGAGGAGGAGGACGGGGAGTCCGGGACCGGCGTGGTTGAGGCGGGAGGCATGGCGTCCAGTGATGAGGAAGGAAGGGCGGGCGAAGCGGAAGGTAGGGAGAAAAGGGCCTTTTTCGCGCCGTCCACGGCCCCGCCTGCTCCCCCGCCGTCCTCCCCTCCTCCTTGCCCTCCTTCCCCCTCTTCGATCCCTCTTCCCCTCGCCTCCTCTTCCAGTCTCCCTTCCTCCTCCACCTCTCCCCGTCCCTCCCCGTCTGCCCTCCTTCTCGCTGCCTCCTCCCTCTCTGCACCTCCCTCCCTCCCCATCACCCCCTGGCCTCCTCCAGGGAGGTCGCTACGCCTTTCCTCCACCTGCCCTTCCCCTTCTCCGTCTCCGCCCAATGTGACCCTTGCCCTTCCGATGTTCCCTCGCCCCTCCTCCTCTTCTACCTCCACCACCATCCCCGTTCCCCCTCTCCCTTCCATCTTTCCCTCATCCTCCCCCTCTCCTCCGTCCCTCTCCCCGTCTACCCGTAGCTCCCCCACGCCCTCCACGCCCAACGCTTCCTTCCTTCCCCGCCCCTCTGCCGCCCGCCTCAGCGCCTCGTTCCTGGCCTGGAACTCGGCGATCGTCTCCCGCATCGCCCGACAGTCAAAGACTTCCACCGTTTTCAACTCCACCCCCGTCAAGGGCGAGGTGTGCGAGTACTGGGAGAACCACCGCAGGATCGCCTTCCTTTCGTAGGTATGCCCGTCCGCCGCGGAGACCGGGTCTTGCATGGGAAGGCTGGTGATGGGGCACACGATGCGGGCCAACATCTCTCGCGGCAGGTACTCGTACGAATACCCGCCCTCCTCCTCCTCCTCCTCCTCCTCCTTCGCCTCCTCCTCCGCTTCCGCCTCCA